GGAAAAAATAGATATACGTGTATGTTAAAGTTTGGGACAGGTTTAAGTTTGACATGCGTCTAGGATGACATCTGTAACAGGGTGATAAGCTTGCAAATATTCCGAGTATTTAATAAACATGTGTTTATGATTCAGTATCAAACAGTGAGGGGGGCACGGGTGGCCCAGTCGTCTAAGGCGCCGCGATTCACTGTGCAGAGTTGCGTCCCTTGGGCACGCCTGAAACGTATGATTGTGGGTTCGAATCCCGGTTCGCCCCGATTATGTTTCTAGGTTTGTCAGCACCATACCCGTGCTCGTGGGTTTCACCGAAGTGGTAAACGTCTGAGACCTGAATCACTTCGAGCTTTCCTCCCACATTAAGCTGACACGCTGTGATATAACTGTAATACTGTTAAAAGCGGCGTTAAACCCAACTCACTCACTCAAACAGTGATGATGCCAGGTGTTCTTGAAAAGGTGAATGTATCATTTCCCATTGGTGGCACCCGTCACATTCACAGGCAAGGCAATTCAATTGTTCACCTGAATATATTTTAGAACATAATATGATAGTAAAGAAAGAATTGCATCACACATCATGGTCACCGATGCGTTAAATTTTAAAATTGTCTCCACATGACTACCATCAAACCTTTTGAAAGCTTTCCTGATGCCTTTCATGTTGAAGCCCTGATCAAAAACCTTTTGAGCAGGAGTCGTCAAACTTGAAAATCGTCCTGAAACTGGCATGCTGGATTGTATCTCAAAGCTTGTGAAATGTAGACTGCAAAGGCAGGGGATGCTGCGATGTTGCTCGACAGAGGGAGAATTGACTGTTTTGAAAGTTGAAGTCACCGCTCTTGTCACACAGTCTTGTGGAGAGCATTTTGACACTCTTAATATATAACAGATATGAACCAGATGATTATTGTTGTTTAGAAGCTGAGGGGACAATTTCAAAATAGGGGAATTGAGGAAAATATACTAGTTCATAACAGATGAGGTGGTATCACTGGTCTCCTTCATTTCTAGATGGGAAATTAGATACATATGTTTGAGTCTGGGACGGGGCTCGTGTTCGTCATACCTACTTATATGGTCGGGACAGGGTCTATAATTCGAGATGTGCATACGGTAAAATCTAGGACAACACACCTCGTTTAAGAAAGCAGTGATTCCATATTCCAGAGTTTGAGATACCTGAAGCGATTGTATGTTGAATATCGTCCATACAATTTTGTCGAAGTATTATTTATAAAAATTACTTCTACCATATGAGCAGCTGGATTTTGTTTAAAAACAGATGAACACGGTTATTAATGATGTACGTCATGTGTCGGCCATCCAGTTGCATGACATCTCAATACAAAGTCTCCGCACCAATCATCCCCTGTCTCCGCCACTTACCTGTCTCCTAGCGGTATCAGATCGTCCTAAGTTTGCATCACCGATTACGATAACTGATCTAATCGAACGCACCTAATCCAAGCAGATCACGTACACACGAGACCTCATCAGTTCTCGCGTGGCTGCCGTCATCCATATTACGTCATGCGTGTGGGGATGTCGTAAAAGGATTGTTCGAACGTTTAATATTCGTGTAACTGCTACACGAGATTATTTCGGGTGTTGGTTTGTGAAATGAATGTTAGCAGCACATTCACGTTCTTGAGGGACTTACTGGCCTGCAGGAATTGAGGTAAGCTGATTGCTATTTTACACACTGATCCATGTCCCTATACATACAAAGCCTGTGCGTTTATCCATTCAACTTTTTATGTTGTCTTATTAACGTAGCTTTGTCTCAGCAAAAGATCTTTGGCGGGAACGATTAAACGAAAATAACATTTTGGTAAATGGGGTTTAACGTCGCGTCCAAGATTATTGCACTTATATAGAGACGTGCATGTACGTGTGTGTTTGTGTAGCTGCTTGTACTAGTCCGGGCTGATGCCGATTTATAGTGCTAGCTCACTGAGATACCATGCCGCAGTTTAACATGAATACCCCACTCAGACACAGTATACTGACTCCGAGCCGACCAGTCCTTGTTTAAGCCCCTTCATGCCGAGCGCCAGACAGGGAAAGTACCATCTTTAAACGTCTTTTGGTATGACGCGGCCGGGGATCGAACCCCGGACCTTCCACTCTCCGGGCGGACCCCCTACCACTAGACCACGGAGGCGGTCGTAAAAATTGAAAAGAAATTAAAATCAAATGCTGTTCGTGAATTTTGAGATGCACTTCGCACGGATTTTATCCGTAAGTAAAATGTTACTCTATCGTGTTATAAACGCTTTTTTATATTTGTTTAGACTTCAAAGGAAACCAAGTAAATTAAATGAAACGCTGACACGGGCGTTAGGGTTCATGGAATAAGAGAAATAGAAAATATTAATCAGTGTAAAAGAACATGTCACTAGAGCGTTTTATACAATTAAATCTCCAAACGCTGAAAAACTTTCATATCTCACGCAACGCCTAACTCAAGCATTAAACTTTATCGATAGTTTTGTACTGATAAGATAATGGCTTTATTTTTTTAATTTCCTCACTTGATCGATTACTGACAGCAAGGTCGCTGTGACTCTTTGAAGGATGCGGCTATCGTCTATGCATGGCTTCGTTATAAGGGCGTATATTCTACACAAGGTTTAATTGTTTTATATGCTCCCTAAGGGGTGCATAAGGTTTTAAACACCCTGCCAGTGAATACCTCTGACGTCTATCTAGTACCCATCTACTAGAATTACCATACCGACACTTCAGTACACATGATTACCATGAATTACCACTGCCAGGTAAGGTGAGGTGAATAGGGGTTTTAAACGTTGCGTTCAAGATTAGTGCATTTATACAGTGCATGCACGGAAGTGGGCGGGTTTGTGCGTACGTGCGCGCGGGGGCGAAGCCACACTACTACCACAATTATTACCGCTACCATCTCAGTCACATGACAATCTCCATCACACAACAATCTCAATCACACTACAGTCTCCATCACACTACAATCTCCATCACACTACAATCTCCATCACACTACAATCTCAATCACACTACCATCCCCATCACACTACAATCTCCATCACACTACAGTCTTCATCACAATACAATCTCCATCACACTACAATCTCCATCACACTACAGTCTCCATCACACTACAATCTCCATCACACAACAATCTCAATCACACTACAATCTCAAACACACTACAATCTCCATCACACTACAATCTCCATCACAATACAATCTCCATCACACTACAGTCTCCATCACACTACAATCTCCATCACACAACAATCTCCATCACACAACAATCTCAATCACACAACAATCTCAATCACACTACAATCTCCATCACACTACAATCTCCATCACACAACAATCTCCATCACACAACAATCTCCATCACACAACAATCTCAATCACACAACAATCTCAATCACACTACAATCTCCATCACACTACAATCTCCATCACACAACAATCTCCGTCACACTACAATCTCAATCACACTACAATCTCCATCACACAACAATCTCAATCACACTACAATCTCAATCACACTACAATCTCCATCACACTACAATCTCAATCACACTACAATCTCAATCACACTACAATCTCCATCACACTACAGTCTTCATCACAATACAATCTCCATCACACTACAATCTCCATCACACAACAATCTCCATCACACTACAATCTCCATCAAACTACACTCTCTATCACACTACAATCTCCATCACACTACAATCTCCATCACACTACAACCTCCATCACACTACAGTCTCCATCACACTACAATCTCCATCACACTACAATCTCCATCACACTACAATCTCCATCACACTACAGTCTCCATCACACTACAATCTCCATCACACTACAATCTCAATCACACTACAATCTCCATCACACTACAATCTCCATCACACAACAATCTCCATCACACTACAATCTCCATCACACTACAATCTCCATCACACTACAATCTCCATTACACTACAGTCTCCATCACACTACCCCTAGCATCTCCAGCAACCCAGCACCTTCTACAAGAACTACAGCGCCTCACATCTAGTGTTCATTCTCTTCCCACTCATTAAAATCTTCATCTGAAAAAAATATATCTTTTTGTGTGTGATAAGCAGGAAGAACAAGTTTCGAGTTATTTGTTCCGCTTCAGGTGCACCACGTGACGACCGTGCCGTTACTCCAACATAACAATGTTCTTGACAGCGTCTTAGTTTTTGTCAAGCGTATTAACAATACACATCACCGGTAGAGACGATGTTAAAAGACACCACGACTGTAATAACCTACAGAAACATGCGTCCTATAGTGTTAGGTGTACCGTCTGTAACAGACTGGGTACAGCTTGACCAGTGTCCGGCGTCCCCCTAGAGTGTACATCACAGAGACTGACCACCTGCTGCCTGGCTAATATCGTTCTCATGTATACATAGGTCCTCACTTGAGGGGCATCGTTATGCCAGCACTGGCTGCGACCTGCTCGGTGAATATTGGGAATTGATTGTCTGAAGGGGCTGTCATAGACATTCTTTATCTTGTCGCTGTGACCGAGAAAATGTATTGATAAATAGATTTGTAAGAAAACATATTTTTTGTGTGTCGTGTTTGATTGTTTTTATCCGCTACCCAGAATGTTTATATTTAAACAAGGTAATTAACTCACTAACTCAACTTATACACGGTAAACCTCAGTATGAATTTGTTTGAATGAGAGAGGTAACGTGTTCATATATACAGGGAGAGAAGAGAGCGAGAGACGGAGTGAGTGAGAAAGATAGTAAGGGATAGAGACAGAATGGGAGGGGAGACGAAAACCATGAGACAGAGAGACACAGAGAGAAGGGTGGGTGGAGACGGGGGGAGAGAGAGAGATAGAACAAAGAGAGCGAGAGAGGGCAGAGAAGAGGAGAGAGCGAGAGAGATAGGGATGGGGAAGAGAGGAGGTAGATAGAGGGGGTTGAGAGAGGATTGAGAAAGAGGGGAGACAAAGAGAGGAGAGAGAAGGGAGAGAGATAGGGATGGGGAAGAGAGGAGGGTGAGAGACAGGAGAGACAAAGAGGAAAGAGAGAGAGATAGGGATGAGGAAGAGAGGAGGGTGAGAGAGAGGGAGACAAAGAGAGAAGAGAGAGAGAGATAGGGATGAGGAAGAGAGGAGGGGAGAGAGAGGGAGACAAAGAGAGAAGAGAGAGAAGGGAGAGAGATGGGGATGGGGAAGAGAGGAGGGTTGAGAGACAGGAGAGACAAAGAGGAAAGAGAGAGAGATAGGGATGAGGAAGAGAGGAGGGTGAGAGAGAGGGAGACAAAGAGAGGAGAGGGAAGGGAGAGAGATAGGGATGGGGAAGAGAGGAGGGTGAGAGACAGGAGAGACAAAGAGGAAAGAGAGAGAGATAGGGATGAGGAAGAGAGGAGGGTGAGAGAGAGGGAGACAAAGAGAGAAGAGAGAGAGAGATAGGGATGAGGAAGAGAGGAGGGGAGAGAGAGGGAGACAAAGAGAGAAGAGAGAGAAGGGAGAGAGATGGGGATGGGGAAGAGAGGAGGGTTGAGAGACAGGAGAGACAAAGAGGAAAGAGAGAGAGATAGGGATGAGGAAGAGAGGAGGGTGAGAGAGAGGGTTGAGAAAGAGGGGAGACAAAGAGAGGAGAGAGAAGGGAGAGAGATAGGGATGGGGAAGAGAGGAGGGTGAGAGAGAGAGGGTTGAGAGACAAAGAGAGGAAAGAGAGAGAGATAGGGATGGGGAAGAGAGGAGGGTTGAGAGACAGGAGAGACAAAGAGGAAAGAGAGAGAGATAGGGATGAGGAAGAGAGGAGGGTGAGAGAGAGGGTTGAGAGACAAAGAGAGGAAAGAGAGAGAGATAGGGATGAGGAAGAGAGGAGGGGAGACAGAGGGAGACAAAGAGAGAAGAGAGAGAAGGGAGAGAGATGGGGATGGGGAAGAGAGGAGGGTTGAGAGACAGGAGAGACAAAGAGAGGAAAGAGAGAGAGATAGGGATGAGGAAGAGAGGAGGGGAGAGAGAGGGAGACAAAGAGAGAAGAGAGAGAAGGGAGAGAGATGGGGATGGGGAAGAGAGGAGGGTTGAGAGACAGGAGAGACAAAGAGAGGAAAGAGAGAGAGATAGGGATGAGGAAGAGAGGAGGGTGAGAGAGAGGGTTGAGAAAGAGGGGAGACAAAGAGAGGAGAGAGAGAAGGGAGAGAGATGGGGATGGGGAAGAGAGGAGGGTGAGAGAGAGGGTTGAGAGACAGGAGAGACAAAGAGAGGAAAGAGAGAGAGAGATAGGGATGAGGAAGAGAGGAGGGTGAGAGAGAGAGGGTTGAGAAAGAGGGGAGACACCAGAAATGGGCTTCACACAATGTACCCATGTCGGGAATCGAACCTGGGTCTTCGGAGAGAGAGAGACGTGACCCGTCGTTAACTCGAATTTCTTTAACCAATAACATCGCTGTTGTTTCATCCTCCGGTTGATTCCTCACCGACATTACACGAATAGACACATACATGGTCAAATATCAGCGGCACACGGCTTATTTCAAAGCCCGGATAACTCGCATATATCTATATATGGTTTATAGTTCGAATAAGAAGGTTTCTCTGTGTGTGCGTGATACACCTCAATATATATGAGCAAAAGTTGTCCTGGCTACATAACGTTAACGTTCACAACAGATTTAAATACATGTAATTTACCTCGTACACATGCAACGCTACAATTGATTTGTTTTCCTTCTTAGCAATAAATCTTTCACTTAGAGTGTGTGAAACTAATTATGTTTTTTTTAATTTTCTTAAATATCCAATTTAGTTCCCAAATCGCTTGTACAACAATCGCAGCCGCCGGTCAAATATCACTACTTAGATCGGTTTACGCTAAGCCGCAACCCAGTATCGACGACTCCGGGGAACCACGAGCATTAATAAAGCACAGGAGTTATCAGAAAATATTTGATAGAAAATCCATTCATATTGTTACTGTTTCCGTAAAACAAAGTCATAAATATTGATAAGGAGACTGACTCATATTTAAAGAAACATATTGAAAATCATGATTCAGTGAATTGACTTTCTATCTTATAACGGATTTTCTGAGTCATTTAGTTTCATATTTTGTTTATGGCGTTCAATAAAAAACTAATTTATTGGTAGTCGTTTCTGTAACCTTAAAAAATATTGATTAATAATTCCCTGGGAATATTTCTGTAATATAATTTGATTATCATGCTGAATCAACCGATTATCTTCTGTCGATAATGCATAAAGGAAATTGAAAATTCCATATTTTTTACAGTTTGTGGATTAATGATTTTAGCATGTTGGGATTCAAGAGACTTTTTGTTCCGTTGACACTTACAAATTGGATCTAGTTTTTCCAATCTTAAAAGATTATACTTTTCAATGCTTTATTCCGGGCATAGCTTCGCCATAGAGGCGGTTCCGTGGTAAATAGTGAATAATTTATTAGGCCTGGTGTATCTGCCAAATCTCCTTTAAAAATATTTACGCTTTTTAGATGTTAAAGAAGCCTATTTTCTTTAGTTTTCTGCAAACTTCAAGAACTTTCACAACCAGTGCTGATTATTCCTTAAAAAGAAAGTTGAAAAACGGAATCGTGTTTGAGTGACTATCGACGGTTTTAACCGTATTTCATCCCCATATGCATAACGTTGTGTCACATGGCGGATGAAGGGCGCCTGTATGTTTTATCTCATGTGGCCGTATAGTGCTAATCAGAGATTCCAATCCACAACATGCATGGGGAAACGCTTTTAGCTAAGGGACGCAACTCTTCACATGGAATAAGGTCGGCCGTGATACTGAAACATGAGTGAGTGAGTGAGTGAGTGAGTGAGTGAGTGAGTGAGTGAGTTGCAGGTAACGCTGCTTTGTCAATATCCTGAAACATGTTAAAATATGTGAAATGGAATTTTCTTACAATTGATAAATAAAACTACATTCTTTGATTCAAAGTCGTTGTTTTGGTACTATTACATAATTACGGAGTTTTTCCCCTACTTAGAAAGTATACTGAAAGACTAAAAACAGTCGCCGAAACACTGAAAACTTAAAGTCTAAATCGTTTCATTTTTAGCCATCAAACATGGGTGTATATCACGCCCCCCCCCCCCCCCCCCCCCCCCCCCCACACACACACCCTCGGCAGTGTATTTTAATAAATCATCTGACGTAGTTACGGCCATTGTGGTCTTTGGTCTTCCACGGACTTATATAGTTTATATAGGTCCGTGGGTCATCTAAGGCTATGGTCGTAAACAGTTGCTTTCCTTTCTGTACTGAAGTGGAAAGTCACCATTGTATCTAAATCTACCGGATACTCATTGACCAGCTGATATATCAAAGTTACTAAGGAATGTATGGGAGCCGTATGACATAGCCGTTCTAAATGAGTCATGTTCCTCGCTTTCGTCACTTGCTCACTTGCCCATTGAAAACAACAAACTGCAAACCAAAACTCAGAACCCTACCTCCACAACCTATAGTCAACAAGCCTCAACCATGTACCCCAAAACACGCAACACAATGTGCACAATCCCACAGTCAGCAGTCCTCAACCGACAGTCAACAACCAACTACACGCAACACGCAACACGAATTTCAGGACCAACAACCCACAGTCAGCAATCCTTAACCGACAGGCAACAACCAACTACCCTCAACACGCAACACGCAACACGCAACACACAATTCACGACCAACATCCCACAGTCAGCAATCCTCAACCGACAGTCAACAACCAACTACCAGCAACAAGAAAGGCACAATCAACAACACCTAACCCACAACCCAAAATCACACAACCCACATCCCTCAACCTAATTCCCCAGTTCACCCGTCACTGTATTGATACACTGTTATTGTAACATAGTTAACAGTTAATCCCAGCGAAGATCACATTCCATCATCATGTGGATTCAAACACCGGTCTGCTATAGCTAAGCCCGAATTCAAACCAGACAGATATCCGGCGCCTGGTTAATGAGATATTATACACAACACCCACTGAATATTGAATAAGTCCTGCAAATGGTTATGATATTCAATAATTTCAAACTGTTATTATTTGACCCCTAACATTGCCGAGTAATATGATTGATAATGTCCTGCGCTGGAGAAACTGCATCTATCGGGGGATCGGTGAGTAATAGACATAGCCGTTCTAAATGAGTCATGTTCCTCGTTAGACTGTCGGGATTAAGAAATGATATAAATCATTTTAGTACATTTACGAAATATTGAATGTATGCGTGCATAATAGATCAGTGATACACACAACGCGTATTGTACTGAAACAAAGATAAACATGCCTGGTATGTTATGTACATATTACACGTGTCTCCGAGTGTTACATACTGGTGTGAAATAGTCTAGGTTTAAGTGTGATGCTAGCGAAATGTCATGGTGGAACTCAGTCTTATGCTACCCAGTAAACCAATTAACGCTTGATTGTGTGACTACAACGCATCTCGTCAGCACATGGGAATCAATGTCGTGGCCACAGTGAAACCAGGTGTCGAATCGTGGTCGCTAATACGAGGCGTCTGCGCCGGAATGGGCCTGTATGGTCGTCGTGGTACAATATCACGTGGGGTTAGTAGAGAACGCACATCGTAACAACGGCGAATATATGCCAATTGTGTCGTTTTACTTTCATTTGGCATCGGTCAATGGTAATAGCAGTAGTTGCCTCAGTCGTAGAAGCATCATTATTAGCAGTATAAGAAGCAATGATGATAGTTGCAGAGAACTTATATAGTGAGTGATTTGCGAGAAATTCAATTATATCACGTCGTGTTTGATAAATGTGGGAGGAAATCCCGAAGCCACTTTGGCAGAAATCCATGCGCACGGGTGTGGTACCAAAAATCATAATCAGGCCGAATATGGGATTTGCACTTACGTTCATGGGATTCTTGCTAACCAAAGGGAGGTAACTCAGACGACTGGGCCAAATGCAGTTATATACGCTGTCTGTAGTGGTAACGGGCCACCACATACATGAAAACATAAAAACGTATCAGGTGTAGTGGTAGTAGTAGTAGTAATAGTAGTAGTAGTAGTAGTAGAAGGAGTTGTTGTGGTAGTAGTAGTCGAAGTCGTAGTGGTAGTAGTAGTAGTAGTAGTAGTTGTTGTTGTAGCAGTAGCAGTTAAGTCGCAGCAGCAGTAGTAGTATTAGCTGTAGTGATACCAGTAAAGTAGATGTAGCAGTAGTGGTAGTAGTAGTGGTAGTAGTAGTAGTAGTAGTAGTAGTAGTAGTAGTAGTAGTAGTAGTAGTAGAAGTAGTAGTAGTGGTATCAAGAGCAGCAGTAGGTACTACATGTATTACTCTTAATTCAAGTCAAGTACATTTGCAGATGTGAGGGAACGGTTTATGTAGTTGTCAGATAGTCTCAACTTTTACCTATGTCAATAGGTGTGTTTGGATAAAGGCTTGGTTAATCATAACTCCATCATGCCACAGAGATGCAATCAGTGCCTGCCCCCGGCACGCCATCACCTGTTGGGCTATGGTTTATATATAACATTACCTACCTATGTAGATAAACCAACAGGTGAACACACTGTTCAGGCAGTGCTCTGATAACGCTGGAATTCCACGTGTTGTTGAAATACCTGACCAAACTTTCACTTGTGTGACACTTATGCATTGACTTGAATTTTGTGAATTCCGTTTGGATTTCCATAAATGTGCTGCACATTATACGTTGTAGCCTGGTGTTCCGTATGGTAAGATAGATGAAGTATATTGAAGACTGTACGGCCACGACTAGTCCTGCACCATGACCGTGGAATATATTTATTTTATGAAAAAATAATAATCTAGAAATGCATACAAAAGCAAGTCTAGCCAGCTCAAACTAGCTCTATTCTGAAATCAGCATAGGGAATTTTTTATATTTTTAGAGTCAAGAAGGATATTGTGTAATATAAGATTTCA